TTCCTTCCTCTCCTCTCTCCCTTCCTTCCCTTCTCCTACTTGGACTAGGAAAGGAGGGAGTCCTACTCCCGGTGGGAGTAGGACTCCTCCTTGGCGCACCCTCCTCCTTGGCCGGCCGCCTCCCCCTAGCTCCTTTTTATACGGGGGCAAGGGGGCATCCCATAGACACAACAATTGATCATTGATCTCTTAGCCGTGTGCGGTGCCCCCCCCCCCACCATATTCCACCTCGGTAATATCGTAGCGGTGCTTAGGCGAAACCCTGCGTCGGTAGCATCATCAACACCGTTATCACGCCGTTGTGCTGACGGAACTCTCCCGCAAAGCTCTGCTCGATCGAGCTGAACGTGTGCTGAACTCGGAGGTGCCGTACGTTCGGTACTTGGATCGGTCGGATCGTGAAGACGTACGACTACATCAACCGCGTTGTGCTAACGCTTCCGCTTTCAGTCTACGAGGGTACGTGGACAACACTCTCCCCTCTCGTTGCTATGCATCACCATGATCTTGCGTGTGCGTAGGAAATTTTTGAAATTACTACGTTCCTCAACACTTTCCTTCCATCTTTCTAATTTTCTTTTCTATTTTTCATTTTTGCAAACATATCTCAAATTCTTGAACATTTTTCGAGGTCCTTAACATTTCTTAAAATCATAAACATTTCTCAACTTCATGAACACTTTTTGGAAAATCATGAACAATTTTCATATTTGTGAATAGTTTCTGAAATTATGAACATTTTATGACACTCGTGAACATCGTTTTGAATTGGTGAATTTTGATCGGCGAACATATTTTTTAAAATTCATGAACATTTTTTTGTTTTTACAAACAATTTTTGAATCATTGCAGTTTTTTGAAATTTTGGAACAATTTTTGAAATTCTTGTATGCTTTTTGAATTTGTTTTGAACTTTTTAAATTCACAAACATTTTTATAAATCCACTAAAGTTTTTGAAAATGACAACATTTGTTCAAAATCATGTACATTTTTTGATTTCCTGAATATATTTTTTTAAATGTGAAAAATATTTTGAATCTACGGACATTTTTTCGAAATTACAATCATTTTATGGTTTTCTGAATATTTTACAAAATTGTAAGCATTTTTTGACATTTTATGATTTATGGAACATTTTCCTGTTTTATTTTTTTTAATAAAGAGCATTTTTGTAATCCCGAATTATTTGTAAAAATAAAGAACGAAAATAGTAGAAAAAAAAGGAAAAGAGAAAAACGAAATGTACAAAACAGGGGACGGCCCGCCCCGCCCGCACATGGGCTGGCCCAAAAATGCGTGCAGAGGGACCTCGCCGACCCTTCCGCCGCGCCGTAGAGAGTTTTGCCAGATTTGCGGCCGCTCGAGCCAGGAAAGCCCAAGAACAACGGACACGGAGATGAGCTTAGCGCTTCTAGGGGGCTACTCCTCCGCCGAGGACGACGACCCCGCCGCCGGCGCCGGCGTCGAGCTGAGCGACTCCGGCGACTCATCAGCCGAAGAGGCCGGATCTGACGGAGACGAGAAGTCCGCTCCATCGAAGCCGGCTGCGAAGCCCCGCCCCCGCGTAAACCCTAGCCCCGGAGATGGGGACTCCTCGCTGCCCTCGGCGCTAGATGTCTTCGCCGAGATCTCCGGGCCCCCGGCTTTCCTCAACCGCAGAGTGGCCCAGCCCGAGGAGGTCGGGGAGGCGCTCGGCGTGCTCGATCGTCGCTCCAACTCCAAGAGGAGAAAGCCGCCACCTCCCGGTGAGACGTTTAAACTACTGCTAATTTTCCAGCAGATTATCGTGCTTTGATATTCGTGCTGGTTCAGAACTGGCTGTGTTTTGACACTTACAGTGAGGATTTAGTGGTAGAACCATAATTCTATAGTTCAAATGTGGCACAGTCAGCGTATTATATGAGGAGGTTTTGTTGTTGATGCTGTAGTGTCAACTTTCTTAGTGGTCTCTGGTTGCGGAATTGCATTGCTATAGGGGCATAGGGTTAGTGTTTCAATTGCGTGGCCAGACTGTTATTTGCAAGAGCCTGGAGTTGGTCGATTTGATTCTAGCCTGACTTACAATGCACTGGTTCGTGTTGTACATGAAAATTAGTTTATCTGTAGTCGTCTTGGTGTGCTTATGGTGCCCAGTAGTTTAGAATGGCATGTCCGGTCTATTGTCTGTGATAAGTGAGTGAAATCGGGAGAACTGGTGTTGTTTTCTGTTGTTATTTTACATGTCCTAATGATTAATTGATATACACAAGTATCATGAAGCCAAGATGATGGCATGGCCAGCATATTTAGGATAGAAAAGAGAGATGGAACCCAGTTATACAAATGAAGACAGATGTTTTTTAGTTTAGTTCTGCATTCAACATATTAGCCTTCTGTTAGTTTGATGTACACAATGAGGGTTGTGATTACATTATTGTGATATGCTACTTGTGCACTATGTATGTGCTGGTGCTAGAAATTGCGTAATTGAATTGGCAATTTGGCATTCATTTCCCAGGTTGCAAGATAAGGCGAGAAATATGTAAATGTGTTTTGTGCTGTGACTATTATCCTGTTCTTCTTCTGTGTGTTTGTTAGAAGACTTAGAAGGACTATATATCTGGGTATCTAGCTTACTTCTTGCAGGAGGAAATAGGTCAACAAAAACCTGCCATCCTCTGCTTGAGTACATCAAATGGATATAATTGGCCATTTTGAATTGAATCTGTATTTTGATACATAATTTTATAGCTCGTTAATATGTTTGAAAATGAGATGCCTAGTAAAGCAGATCTTATCATCTGTGCTGGCTTCTGATAATATCCCTAGTTTCACTGATGGCAATTATTATATTTCAAATCCAAGTTGGCTCCTGGCTAATCTTACTAAAAACTATGTTCAGGTGCGGTTGTGGCGGCGAAGCCACAGTTGGTTGCCATCCGTGAACGAGTTAGCAGTGACGTGAAGAATGGTGCCAACCCTCCAGGTTCTGTTGGATGTTCATTGAATGGATATAACTTTCCCTTTTTAAATAGGACCTGCAAAATTACTTATCTGCGGAATACCTTGTTAATATGCTTGAGCATGCGATAGATAGTAAAGCAGATATTATCATATGTGCTAACATGTGATAAAAGTCTTAGTTCTGCACTTATGCTCATGCTAATTATTCTACTTCAAATTCATTATCTCTTGGCTAATCTGACTACAAAACTGTCTCCAGTTGCGGTTGTGTCGGCGAAACCACAGTTGGTTGCTGGTCACGAACGAGTTAGCAGTGACATGAAGAATGGTGCCAGCCCTCCAGGTTCTGTTGAAGGAAAGAGGAAAATAGGCGCTGCAAATCCTGGTCCGGAAGATGCTGCCGAGCTTCTAAGGTAACAGACGGCCACTTTGTTTCATGAATACAACTACGAAATAACTAAACAAAAGCATACCGAGCACACATATGGCTGAATTGTTTATACAATCTGTTGTCATTCCTGGTATATGCCTTATACAGGACTCCTCACTGTGTTTTTTTCTCTTCAATTTGTAGAATGTGCCTCCAGTGTGGTATACCAAAAACCTATTCACATGCGCAAGGAATGGTATGCCCTGTTTGCAACGACAGACCGGTGCAGGCTAAAGAGCCAGAGAAGAAGAAGGGTTCTGCTGTGAAAGACAAGGAGAAAGTGAAGAGGATGAGAGGGCAATCGTCACATGCATCATGGAAGAGCGAAACTGAGATGGCCCTGCGCCAACAATTCGACTGATTGGTGTCACCAGGACTGCTGGTGCACCCAATCTGTAAACTGTACACTAGGTAGAATACAATCTCTTCGCCTGAGTAAGCTTGCACCACTGCGTCACGGTTGGTTCAAGATTTGTTTCTTGTATTTGCAGTTCTCTGCGACACTCGGATTGGTCTGATAAGCTGTGTTCGTTAAAATGTTTCCAGTGACTCGGGGCCTCTTTTGCTTCATGAGGCTTTTCCTGTATCTACCCGTAACTGAACCGTGCCCTGTGTGAAATTTTGGCAGAATTCCAATGAAACTTGCGAACAATAGAAGCCCTGAATACTAAACTGGTTGTGCTTCATGCTATAATTAGGGGACATGGAAATCTTAGATAATAGTCCCAAATTCCCATTGGATTCTTGCTAATCATAGAAGCCTGCAGTGTTGAGCCAATTATGCATTTGATCAAGGGGAGGGATAGGCTGTTTTAGCAAATCTGGAGATGTTAAAGTGTGTGGTGGGTCTAGTAATGTGGCGGCATGTGGCATAACATGGCCAACATGAGAGCAACCCACGGAGAAGAACAGATCCAGCCCTGCCGCGATGGTGATCGTATTATTAGTACCCTGTGCCGTTTACCAGGGCATTGTCTTCTGGGATTCCCTTGGGACACGTTCATGGTTTCCATGTTTAAGATGTGTCCATCATATTTGTTATAGCTGGCTTAAAATTCCACAATGCATACACCATCTTTAGCTTAAGACCTTCTACCATATGTTTGTGATCGGATCTTAAGGCTATTTCGATCATTTTCTTTCGAATTCAGTAGTTCGTATCGTATGAAAACAGTAAGGAGATACTTGGAACGAGCAACAGCGGAGGGAGCGGGGCGGGTGGCACGGCCCTGTCTGTCTGTCTGTCGGCCATGATGCGTCCATTGAATAATGCAGGATTAGTTCAGACGAGCAGGGACAAAACTGCACAGACTTTTTAAAGCTTTCCGGATCGGATCGACGCCACGGTGGCACGATGACAGCCAAGGCCCAACGCGGCCTCATCACCCACTTCCATTTTATACC